GATTGCTCTGCATGGTCATTCAAGGAAAGTCTTTTGTGGTTTTGGTGCTGCAATATTTTCAATCAATATGTATGGTTCACCTCTTTAAATTATGGTAAGTTTTGTTCACACTTTTTATGTTAATTATTGTTTTAAATTGATTGACTAAGTCAAAATAAAAATCATTTAATCTGAATGAGATAGCTAAGATTAAGTGTTTAACATAAAGCATCATTCCTAATGCATGAATCTGTTTTTTGTTTTGGCAACTTACTTTTCTTATTGTTAATCATTGTTGCACAAACTCCACATGCATATGTTGAATCATTTTTAAAGAATCCTCATGTTTTTATTAAGATTTTAAGCAAGAGATGGGAAAACTCAGCACAAAACTCAAATATATGATTCCTTGAAAATGACATAACATGTATGTTAAGATGATGTTAACATGTGATGTATGCAAGGACATGGGGTCAAGGTATCCATCAAGCTGAATAATTGTTGTGCCGTTTCTGAAACAAGGTTGAACATGTCAGGTTTCAAAAGTTCGGCGCTGTTTCTGAATAATTTGAATGTAACAGGATCAAAGGTCCGAAACCAAATAAGAACACCAAGGAACCAAGTACCATGAAGATCAACATTTATAACTGTAAGAATAATTCACACCCCATCTCACAGGAAAATTATGGCTTGGATATGGTTAAAAGACCCACAGAGCCGTGAGTCCATGTGGAAACCTATCATCATAGCAACAAACGTACACAAACGATTATAATCCCCCAAATGAACCTCCTTTGTGCATGGCTCTCATGACCGCGCTACTAGGATCTACACCCAGTAGGTGTCATGATTATCCACTCTAGTTCTATGTGTTCTCGAGTGTTTCTCTTTGGCCTGGGTATTGAGCATTTTACCTCATAGTAACATCCAATCCACCAAGAAAACAACAACACAACACATATCCAATATAATACAACCAATATCCAGATGCAATACATGCAAACATATAAAACAAATGAAGTAAATAAAGCATAAAAAAATAAACACCCAATGAAAACAACAACCAAGAGCTAGGATTGAATCACTTAGGTTTCCTCAGTGAAGTCGTCAGCTGAAGCAACTAGGAAAAATAATAAATAATGAAGTCGTCATCGAACATTTATTTATCCCACGAAAGGGAAAAGAAAACATCGAAAAAAATCTATAAAGGAAAAGATCAAGGTCTCACGAGACCAAGAGAAGGGTACGAGAGTCGATTACTCAAGGAAATAATATTAGCACCGCTCACTTCCGTTGTACTCAACATGATCCACTTTTGTTGTTCTAATCAAAGGATGTGTTTAACTAATGTTTACAATCTAAGGGAATGCATGAATGAATTGTTAAATAACAAAAAGAAAGTTTTTTTATTGCGCTCGCCTCGGTTTCAAAACCTCGTGACTACGTATTTCTGTCGTGTAATAGGAAATCAGAGCACCGTAGTTCTTCTGAAAAATAATTGCTATGTTTGTGTTTTTTATGAACGATGTTAATTTCACATTCTACTGTCCCTTGACCTTTGGAGACTCACGCATTTGTCATAGAAAGGAACTAACATGTTCTTACCTGAAAATGTTTTCAAAAGAAAAATCCCGAAGTCAAAAGAGATTTGATTTGTTGAGTCTTTTTTGTTATCTTGAAAAAGATTTGGTGATTTGAACCACATTAAAGACTATGATTGAGAGGAAGCACAAGGTTAGAAATGTATTGCCTCATACTTCTCCCATTACTTAAGGCTCGTGACATATTGTTCGTCTCATTATTGTTAAGTGTTTTTGAGATTTGATAAGAAAAAGAAGTTTTAGTCTTAAATGCAATGCAAAAGGGAAAACAAAATCTAAGGGGAAACTCAAGTCCTAATGTTGTCATGCAATATGGTCCTAAAGTTAGGATATCAAAAGGGAAAACTACCTAAGAGTTAGCATGCATCATGGACCTAAGGACAAGGATGAAAGGAACCTCTACCTAATGTTGTCAAGCTTGATTTAGAACCTAAAGTCTATTTAACTCACACCTTGAACAAGATAGAATCAAACTCCTAAGAATACATGTGAGCACAAATAAAGTATGAAAACAACACATCAAAGTGCAAAGGAAACATATCAAGTGCTTAAAAAGACTCAAGACAAAATCACACTTAAACAAGTACAACTTCAAACAAAACCCCATCCTAAGTCTAACAAGACACAAGACAAAACCAAACTTAAACAAGCAAGATTTTAAGTAATCACATCCTAAGTCTAAAGAGACTCAAGGTACACAAGACATGCTTAAACAAACAAGTAGGTAACAAGGTATCTAGTCTAAACACTTAGATAAATAACAAAGCATCAACAAGACAAATTGTCAAAACATGTCATCAAGATAACACTTAACCAAGCATAAAAGAAACTCAAAAGAGTTGTTAAATAAATCTCAAGTATGCATGTGATAAAAACATAACATAAAGGTAACACTAAAGCAAGTATTGAACAATCAACAAATTGCAAACAAATAATGTTAAATCCTAAGAATGTTTCATGTCACCAACAAATAAGAAAATATGTGTCAAAGTAAACAATTAAAGACACACTCAAATCCCCTAAGGGTCATGCTCAAAAGTTTTTAATCCTAAGGTTTTAGAACCTAAGCAAAAGCAATTAACAAGTGCTCAAGCATTCATGAGTTTAGGTATCATTCACTTATTCAAACTTGACATACAAAGATGATTTGAATTAAAAAAAGTGAGAATCAATACAAGTCAATATATACATCATAAAAATATCATCAAAAACATAATTAAAAAATTTATAAATATTCACAAGAGGATTAAGTAAAAATTAGGTCAAAAGACCAACCACTATCCATAATTAGTTCCTAAGAACTAAGCAACAAATAATCAAGGCATTGAGATTAAACCATGAAAACATCACAAGGCATATATTAAACAAGAATTATATTCAAAACATAGCTCATGGTTACAAGAAGTTTCAACAAACATCATACTTAAAACATGATCAAGCAACTAGGCATTCATCACTCAATATCACCCTCAAAAGGAATCATCTATCCATAACAAGTAAATGATCAAACAATCATGAAATTGGACATTTAAATATGGAAATTCAGAAGCACATGCAAAGTATTCACTATCAATCATGATCCTCAAACATCAAGAATTTTCATTTAGCATCAAGATAAAAAACTAGGTCACAAGCTAGGCAATATTCTTCTCAAGATATCATCAAAATGATTCATCAACTCAAGGCATTAAAATTATCAAAAAAAAATGAGACAAAGGATCTAAGTCATGGAAAATAAGCTCAAGTACATATGAGGAAAACTTCCCTAATAGGTTGCACAAGTGCACACCTAAATCAAATCTTGAGCATGCATCAATTAAACACATATGCAATGAGGCTTTAAAATATATGCAATTAGAGATCTCAAAAATACATCAATTAGGCATCAAAGTATCATAGATACATACACCAATCAGAGTTTTAAACATGCCTAAAAAATTGACCAAATATTGGTGCAAACGTGCATCAAACACAAAGCCAAAAATTCCATCAAGTCACAATGCACACATTGACAAAAATGACCCCAAACTAATTGAAATTAAAAAGGGAAAAAATAAAATAAAAATACCTAAATTTGGTCAAGACACCAAATTATCTAAAAAGTATTTTTGGGAATTTTTCTCAGGCAAATAAATGATTTTTTTCACAAATTTATTTGAGCAAGACCTCAAAATATGTGAACTAAACACAGGGGGTGCAAAGCCCAAATCCAGAAATGCACTAAGTCAGTTAGTGCACTACATGGGCTCAGAAAAGGGAGGTGTAATTATCATGTTATGCTAAGCCCAATACGCCCTGGTTCATCAACCACACAACAATTATTTTAATTTGTTTTATTATTAAATTAAATTAATTAATCGATTAATGAAAACAAGATAAGTGGATAATGTTGACTTAGTTAAATGTTTGAACTGGACCAATGATATCCTTACACGCCCATGGAAAGTCAACATAGGGTGGAATGAACCTAGGGTTCAGTCACCCTCTCTGGTGAGACCACCACCCCTCACAGTGGCGCCTAGTCCAAACTACGCCATTAACAAAAAAGGAAAGACCCTCTCCCACTCGGTTTTGGCCACTGATAAAGAATTTGGCCTCGAAAATCATTGAATCTCACTCAAACATATAAAACACAAGCATGCTCAAAATTTAAGATTTGAATCAAACAATGCACCACACAAGTTCTAAGATATGCCATCATAGTGCCTCAGTTAGGAAGACTTCAGATGCAGCTAGATGTTCCTAGCATGAGATCTCTACGCATGATGCAAGGGTTTGGAAATTCTTATCGGACGGAGCACAATCCATCGTGTTATTGTTTGAGCAAAAGAGAAAAGAATTATACGTCGCTTCCAGAGATATTCAAGATGATGAGGAGTTAAGAGCTTTTTTTGCTTCAGATCATAGAAATGAGAGGAAGAAGAAGCTTC